GTAAAAATATAAAACTTTTATGCAAATGCCGCTTCAATGGCTCCACAAACAGCAGATAGATGGTGGAGCGTTTATTATTGCCGCCGACTGCGTTGGCCATCCTCAGAACAAACAGTATGGTTGTCTTGAGGTTTGCTAATATAGATTGGTGAAAAATGAAATGCCGGCTGCAATACAATAAAGATTTTACCATATATTTGTTCGTTGTATCTAGAACCATCGAAGCAACATTTTCATCGAAGAAAACCACGCAGAGTTACCACGAGGTTTTAGAAATCATTTGTACAACTTTTACATTCAGAAGCTTGGTATCTTGTTCATAAAAGACTATACATTGATACGTAGCATCCAAATGATCACTGTCATGTTATATTGTGCTTGAATACCTGCAGTGCTGTTTTCATCTCGTATATGCTAGAACCATATATGTTTAGTCAGCAATGCCGTTTGTGGAGCTGTTCCTTTTAAATGTTTGCAAAAAAAGTCAGAAACAAGGGGTCTTACTCTGGAAAATGATTAAAAAACTAAATTTCTCCAAAATCAGATTTGACGAGGTATTGCACTCAGTACTGGCTATTGCTCCAGCAATTAAAATGCAGCGACATGCATCTGATGTAGGTGCTTTAACCAAATAAGGTCGTGACCTCCTTAGTTCCTACAGCCTGTCATACTGCCAGAAGGATTTTCGGCTGATTCCTTGTCAGACAAGAGAATAAAAATTTCTTAGACAACTCGCTTACTGAAATTTGGATTAGCTCTGTTGCGTTTGTGAAGGCTAAAACTTTTGAAAAGGACCGGTGGAGCAAAGCTTCGTATGGCGATGATTATGACCCCTTGCCGCGACATTTCAACAAACAGCGTCTACGTAATCATTAAAAACTATTTCTGATAAGTGAGACATCGTTAATCAAATCGACCGCCCAGAGCACAACTTTTTTTTTTATTTCAAGATGCCTAGGCAAACGAGGCAACAGCCAAAGCATGGTTAGTTTGAAGTTTGACGGAAAAACTCATTACGAAGAACGGTACTAAGATTTTCGATAGCTAAAACGACACAACAGATAACGCGTTAGTGATACCACTAATTACCCTCGCTAAAATAGGTCAGCTGCAGATGCAAAAGGGTTGTGCCGAAAACGGTGGCGTTTTAGGTTCCCCGAGAACTATGAAAGGCCAAAAACGCGAGTTAAGTCGGCATTGACCTCGCGAGTGTAAACATGACAAAAAACGACGTCAAATGAAAACTTTTCAAGCACCAGCGCAGAATCAGCGAAATCTTTGTATGTAATCCTCACTGAAACGGAGCTGAACCCACATCCTCAGTAGATCTCGGGTAACTAATTACTGTAAGATTTACGTTTGACTTGATTCGCATGTTAATAGCTAAATCGAATAAAATCGGAACCTCTAGATGTAAATCACTAACGAAAGTACGCAGATATGTAATGACTTAACAAAATCGGTCCCACTGGATCGAATAGAACGTAATCTAGCTGCGAAAATCGTGCTTCTATTTTCCATATTCACATCGCGACGAGTGAATTCGAGAGGAAATGAAGGATCGCACGCCGATGCGGAGTAGGTTCTACGTAGCTTTGACGACACTTCCTGAACCCTGAAGCAGACGGCTAACGACTATGGCACCAGATGTTTGACAGAATCAGGCAGTAAAACGAGTTTTGCGCAAATCTGTCCGTAAGGAGACCGCTTAGATACTGCTATGAATGGACTGCAGGTCAAAAATCCGCGTTAAATCCGATACTCAGAAAAATTGATGGAATAAATTTTTAATAGCGGAATGGTAAGCATTGTTGTGATCGAAAAAATTCATTCGACGTCGGATAAATGGTGTCAGAAAATAACTTTCCGTCGGTCGGATAGTGAAGCATCCAGAAATTCGGTTTACTAACGTCAAAATTGGTATGCTACGTTGTTATGCCTTTGCGTGTTGAGTTGCGCATTTCATTACCACAGCAGTTTAATTAAGTGATGTAGGCAAACACGCAAATAAATTGTAGAAGCCAGTGGATCACTCTTTTTTCGAAGACTAAGTCTTCGAGCACATTCCGCAGCGCTGAGCATCCGTGTGAATGCTTTCCCCTTCATGAATTTGGGGACGATAGTATTGCGTTCATCGCCCATTCTCATGTTCCCTCAGGTGTCATCAAGCCTGTTAGAGATTTCTTGGCAGAAGACAAAGGTGCAGAACCTGCA